ATCGGCCCGCGCGCCGGCAGGGTCGGGGTGGGCTGGGCCCCCAGCGGTACGGGGAACCCGGCTGCTCGCGCTCCACCCGCTCCACCCGGCCGGCCCTTCCTCCCAGCTCCCTGGGGCCTGGCCGCAGCGCAGCTTCCGGCGACGGTGGACCTCGGGTCCAGCAGCCCGGGAGCCGGGGGTGGGGTGGTGACCTCGTCCAGGTGAGGCGACGGCGCGGCCTGGGGGCCAATGACCCCGGTCCCTCTCACCCAACTGCTTGCTCAGACCTGCTGTCTTTGGAGGGCACCGTCCCCCTCCCTGCCGCAGTCCCAAGTAATGCGCTTTCGGAAGCTCATGCGGCGACGGTGGACCTCGGGTCCAGCAGCCCGGGAGCCGGGGGTGGGGTGGTGACCTCGTCCAGGTGAGGCGACGGCGCGGCCTGGGGGCCAATGACCCCGGTCCCTCTCACCCAACTGCTTGCTCAGACCTGCTGTCTTTGGAGGGCACCGTCCCCCTCCCTGCCGCAGTCCCAAGTAATGCGCTTTCGGAAGCTCATGCCAGACTCAGGCCAGAGGATCTCGGAATCCACGACTGGGTGGGTGGGGGTGGGGTGGGTGTCGCTGCACTGGGGACTTGTGGAGCCTCTGTGGGAACAGGGGGCTCTGATCAGGGGGTAGGCCTTCCCCAGAGGAGGTGGGACAGGAAGGGGCAAATCTGGGAGAAGGGGAGGGCCCTAGTCCTAGGGGCAGGGAGTAAGAATGGGGTTGTTTCTGCCTAGGGCCACCAGATGCACCTGGTGCGGAGCTGGGACCTTGCACCTGTACCCGGCCCGAGCTGGGGTGGGAGGGGCTGAGGGCAGGGAGGGCGGAGCCAGCCTGACTGCCCGCTGTCAGGAGGCCCCGTCGGGACAGCCCCAGGCCGGGAGCTAAGGACGTGGCCAGGTCCTCCTGCAGAACCACTTCTGACTTTGCGACCCCAGCTCCAGGGCCGATGCCCTCCTCCTCGCCCTCATCCCAAACCCTCTCCCTTCAGCGGCAGTTCACCTCCCTCAACCTTTGGCAGGTCTTCTAGAGCTGGCCTTTGAGACTGCCTGCCACCACCTCTCCCTCACACTCCAGCACACACGGACTCCCTCCCCGGGCTGCAGCCTCTTCTGGGGTTCCAGCCCCCTAACATGCCCGGTCCCCACTGGCCAGACACCAAGGCCGCATGGCCCACTCCAGTGACACCCGGGTGGTCACATTCCCCACTGCCCTCTGCGGTCCATCCTCCACCCGTCTCTCTGCCTGGTGCAGGGAGGGCCCTCAGCTGGCTTCCCGGGTGAGCTCAGCCACCCCTGCATGCCAGCCTTTCCTCTGCCCCATTTCTCCTGACCCTACCTTCGGCCTCACAGCACCCCCCAATGGCAGAGACCAGCGCCCCTCCCGTGGCCAGCCCTGGGAAGCCTGGGGCTGGGGAGGTCCAGGAGGAGGAAGAGGAAAAAGAGGGGGGCTCTGAAGGGCAGCAAGCGGCGATGCTGGAGCAGGCCCAGGAGCTGTTCCTGCTGTGCGACAAACAGGCCAAGGGCTTCATCACCCGGCATGACCTGCAGGTGAGGCCCCAGCCCCAAGAGGCCGCCCAGGCCAGGACTGGCACTAGCACTTGCTCACCCTGCTGCTCTTGCCGACCAGGGCCTGCAGAACGACCTGCCCCTCACGCCTGAGCAGCTGGAGGCGGTGTTTGAAAGCCTCGATCAGGCCCACACTGGTTTCCTCACCGCTAGAGAGTTCTGCCTGGGCCTAGGTGAGCCCAGACCCTCACCCTACCCCAGCTGTCCAGATCCCGAGACCCTCTGGCATGCCTGGGACCCCACGGGGCAGCCTAAGCATCTCCTTTCCCACCTTACTGCCTGCCCTCTCCCCCAGAACCAAGCCCAGGTTGGGCTGAGTCCCCACTGTCACCTCCCATTCCCAGGCCAATAGGGCCTGAATAAGGAAGAATAACAGGAAACCGGCCGGAGCTAGGGCAGGATATGTGTTTGAGGGAGGGGGGCAGGGGCTGAGCTAGGGTGGCAACCCATAGACTGTCTAATCTCTCCCTCCCACGCCCACAGGGAAGTTTGTGGGGGTGGAGTCGGCCCAGGGCACGCCCCCCTCCCGGACTCTGGAGGAAACCTTTGAGTCGGGCTGGTCCGATGCGCTGGGCACCGCCGGCTCTCTGGAGGAGGAGGAGGAGGAGGAGCGGTTCTGCGCTATGCTGGAGCAGCTGGGGGTGGCCCGGGTCCTGGGCGAGTGAGTGTACTGGCCCTGCACTCTGGGTCCCCTGCCTGCCCTTTCTGTCTGCTTGCTGTCTGTCCAAATCGTGTCTGTTCCCCCGCAGAATCTCTAGGTAGGCTCAGGCCCAGCCATTCCATCAGCTGCAACTCCCTGGGCGGGGCCAGACGTGATTTCCCGCAGAATTTGCATTTCAGAAGGCACTGGCCTAGCTGCGGGAGGAAGGGCAGTGCCAAGCACATGGCCACGCACTTACCTGCACTACCCGGAGTATGCACCACCCCGAGCGCAAGCCGTCCATGCAAACGCGCAGAACCCCCAGGCAGCGGTGAACGCACCTATGGAAGGGATGCGCTTTAGACGGGACATGCTCCGGGTCTCCGGGAGGGATTACCCTTTGCAGAGGGGATTTTTCCACCCCCTAGCCCTCCCGCCAGCTCCAGACTCAGTCCCTGCCTGCCCTCTCCAGGCAGCGAGCCGTGAGGGCGCTCTGGGCCCGGCTGCAGCACGAGCGACCGGAGCTGCTGGGCTCTTTTGAGGATGTTCTGATGTGCGCGTCCGCCTGCTTGGAGGAGGCGGCCCGGGAGCGGGATGGCCTGGAGCAGGCGCTGCGGCGGTGAGGACCGGCGGAGAGACTCTGGAAAGTGGAGGGGGGCCTGAAGGCCGTATTGCTGCCAAATTCTCAACAGCTGTCGCACCCTGGTCCCCCAAAGGCGGGAGAGCGAGCACGAGAGGGAGGTGCGCTGTCTGTACGAGGAGATGGAGCAGCAGCTCCGCGAGCAGCGGCAGCGACTGCACAGTCAGGTGGGCTCTCAAGGCCCGCCCCCTCCCGCCTGGTCCAATCCCAGCCTCTCTCGCTCCTCTGGTCCCGCCTCTCCCGAGTTGGTCCCGCCCCCGAGGGCTCAATCTTTGAGCGTCCAGGACGCCCCAAGCCCAGGCTGAATCTGCTTGGTCTCACTGGTCACCTACCCCGCCTTCTCCACTCGACCAGACCCCACCCTGGCCCCACTCCCGGCCCTGCTCCTCCTGCCTCCTTTACTTGTCCGGACAGTCCGGGAAGGCTCAGGTGCCCCCTGTACGTCCCAGAACCTACCCCGGGAGGAACGGAGATGCCACCTGGAGCTGGAGCTACAGAGCCGCGAGCAGGAGCTGGAACGCGCCGGCCTGAGGCAGCAGGAGGTGAGCGGCCCGCCCAGCCCGTGCTCCCGGTCCTCACGGTCACTCGGGCATCGGACAAGCGCGGCACCCGGGGGAGGGGGCGTTCCTCGCTAGCGTCCATCTTCCCATGCACTCCCAGTTGGAACAGCAGCTGCAGGCCCGGGCTGCGGAGCAGCTGGAGACGCAGACTCAGAACGCACGGCTGTGGCGGGCCCACGAGGCGCTGAGGACGCAGCTGGAAGGGGCACAAGAGCAGCTCCGGAGACTGGAGGGCTACGCGCGGGGCCGCGAGGAGCAAACCCAAAGGTGCCCGCGGGGCTGGACCTGGCGGACTCCCGGGGGCGTGTCTCGAGTAGGAGGCGGGGCCAGGGGGCGTGGTGGGATCAAGGCGCGCTTGGGCCCCAGGTCTGGGCGGCTTCTAGCCCTACTTCAAGTTTCAGTCCCGTCCCCAGTGTCTGCAGGGGAGGAGAGGGAGATCTTCTAGGGGCGCCGCACTAGGAGCCTACCTGCATCCGAGTCACCACCTCCCATCCACAGAGACGTGGCCGCGGTCTCCAAGAACATGCAGAAGGAGAAACTCAGCCTCCTAAGGCAACTGGGGCTGCTCAGGTGCGGTCAGGCTTAAGCCTCAGGAGGGATGGGACTCGGGGGGTGGAGGCCCCAAGCTCATCCCACGGGGGAAGTCCTTCTGTGTCCGCCCTCCATCCCTGGTGTTACAGCTCCAGCCAGACGCCTCTTGTCTGGCCTGAGGAGAGCCAGAGCTCGCCTGCCCACTCCAGATGGCTGTCTTCTTGAGAGGGCGAGCTCCCTGAAGGCCCTCACTTTCCTCCTTCCCAGGGAGCTGAACACCCGGCTACGAGATGAGAGGGACGTCTGTGAGGCCAGGCGGCTGGGCAGTAGCCGTAGGAAGGCTCTGGCCACAGCCCGACTGCCTGGGCCCCCCCGCTGCTGCTGCTGCTTCAGGAGGCGGGGCC